AGATTATTTATAGTATTAAAATGATTTACATAGGAATATTTAAGTCTAACAAAAAGTTTTATAATGAAGAAGAAACAAATAATATAACAAGAAAAAATTAGCAATTCTTATATTTAGTAAGGGTCAAACCCAAACCCAAAATCTCCTTTATTAAATTTAGAGAACGTGCCATTTGAGCTGACCTTCACGAGTCAATGTTCATAACTATTGATAGATGTAACACATCCAAAAATAAAAAAATTAACTGAATAATCAAGTTGGATTTTCTCTCAAATTGGAGAGAACTTGAAGAGCAATGATCCAAATCATTTATTTTATAAAATATAATCAAGTGTATTTTTGAATAAAAAAATATCTATTTTTTTAGAGATGAATATGATAAAATGAAAAACTTAAAAGTTTTTTAATGAATGACATGCATACATGACCCTGCAAAATAAATAGTCTAAATCATCGAAATAAAATCCATGCTGACCCACAAGCCCCTCAGGTTCTAAAGCCCAACCCAATAAGGTTACCTATGAAGATCGACTGCAAATGTATACAACAGGAATTTTTAAGGAGAATTTACTGATAAGTCCCATACACAAAAATCAAAATCCATCTAGTTCCAAAACAAAATACTTACACCAATTAGTCTTACATAATTTTAATTATTACCAAAAAATCTTTTTTTTAAAAAAAAATTATAGACGATGCTACATACCCTACTGTCAGACTTCTGTTAGACAGACATCAGAGACTTGTCGAAATGTTCAACATCACCAAAAAATCGCCGGAGTGTTCTGAACATCACCAGAAGTTGGCAAAATGTCCAGAATGTTCGCTGGATATTAAGAATATCGTCGGAGACTCATCAAAATATCCAGAATATTGCCCAAAAAAATAATAAATGGAGAAATTAGAGTAAAAAAAATAGCAAAATGTGCTAAATATTGATAGACTAAAAAAAATTAAAAATAAATAAATAATATTTTTTAAAAAAAGTATTAACAACAAACAACAATAATTGAAAAAAAAATGTTATTTTTCAATTTTTATAGGTTTTAAAGCAAATAATCTCCAATATTGATCAAACTGAAAAACAATCTTTGAAATTGTAAAATGTTATAGTTTCAAAGCAAAAATCTATTAAGCATTTATCCTTATTAATCAAACTGAAAAATATTTTATGAAACTGCAAAATTTTACAGTTCTAAATAATATTATGAAACTGTAAAATCTTACAATTTTAAAGTATGATTCATTTCAACATCAAAAAAATTGAAACTATAAAATTTTATAATTTCACTGCCTGTAATTAAAACTCGAAAACAACTCGTTCAGAATTTGAAAATTTTCTCCATTAAAATAAGAAAATAGAAGTGTGTAGCAGAGTAAAAATAGAAAAATTGAGAGATCAAAAGAGAGAAATAGATATGAAGAGAAGATTGTACTCTAGCAACTATTTTTGGCTTAGATCTAGCCGAATCTGATGTAGCTCTACATCAAATTTGAGTAGATCTACTCATCTTCTTCGCTGGAAACTCACCTCCTTTGCTGTCAGTGAGGGTGAAGTAAGGAGTCAGTGATCGATGATTACAGGTGAACCTCAATCGATAATGTTCGTCAGTTGCCGGTGATTATATATAAGAAAAAGAAAAAGAAGAAGTAAGACGTGGTTGCCGGTCACCGGAAATCAACAAGAGAAAGAGAGAAGAACGAAGGCAGTGAAGAAGAAAAACACATGACTTTTTAGTATAAACAAAAGGTTATGAGACTAAATAGACCACATCTCTTTCAAAGAGGGCTTGTTGGCAATTTGCCCAATTTTGATTCGGTTTGGTTACAGAAAAGGTCCAAATCTAAGCTTTCTTTGAATCCCAATTTAAATTTGCCAGCACACTGACAATTGGGAAAATATCACTAAAAATTTGGAAATTATTTAAGAAAATTTTTATATTAGATATAAATTTTGTATTGACACACTTCAAAATATGGTTTTTATAATGATCTTGAATAATTCAGAAAATTCAGAAGAAAAGAAAAATGGGAGAGTTATTCAATTAAACGTGATTTCCAGGGACAGATCATTACAAAGGGCTTTGACGTAATCTAAATGATCATCATATAATAACCAAACCAAACCAAGCTTAGCTTTAAGTTCCATCAAATGGGATTGACTACATGATCATCACATTATATAACCATAAATAGCTTTAATTGAAATCAACGGTCCAAAATAATTCATCAATGACCAAAGTTTGAAGTTACTACTGCACTGCAACCAGAACAACAAACACGCCAAGGTACCAACTAAGCAACCTTCATTGCAAATTCTACTCTTCCTTGTGCCATAACTGTTAGTGTTATTAGTGTATAGAAAAGCTGTAAAGTAAAGCATAGCTAGTTGTCATTTATATTATATAATATGTAGTGTTTCCTGCTTTCGGTGCCTAACTTAGCATCCTATGCTGTCATCTCATCTCTATAAAGAGAGTGTTCATCTTCTTGTAAAAACACAGAAATATAGAGTTATTCACTTGCTCTCTCTTCTCTCTTTCTCAAACTATTGTTTCATGATATCAGAGCTAGGTTAAAAACTTAGTATTTTTCGCTTCACCGGCGGGCAGCAACCTCGCATTGGCCACTCGCTGGACCTCAAGCTAGTCCGCTTGTTTTTCTACACATACCTTCTTCCATAATTAAGCTCTTCTCTGCCTTTACAATGGCTGCCAACGAAGACCAAGCTTTTCCAGACCTCACCATGGATTCATATGAAGCAACAAAGAGTCTTCTCAATACAACAAACAGACCCACTCACCAATTGCCTCACTCTTCACCTTACATCAACATTCCCAACAATAGCTCCTTTTGCACCCAGCAGACAGCTTTGCAGCTGGACCTCTGCCCACCGTGGGTGATAGCGACACACCAAACAGCTTGCAGCTGGTCACGCTACCCCACTGGGTTGATCTCCCAATGCCTAATTCACGCACCAAACAGCTGCGTGTAACAGTAACATCCGCATCTTCCAGTCTTTCCTTGATCCAATTGAATCACAGAGAAGTTCTAGTCCTCTACCGAATTCAAGGGTCAGCTGTATCTTCACTGTTCCGACAGATTCATAACCATACCATCATCCTTCCAAACAGTGGCTAATGAACAGACGAAGAGGAGAGCTAAGACAGATTTTCTCAAACAGATTTTCTCTCTCTTTAAACCCACTCTCTCTCTCACCATCCGATCTCACCAACTGTGTCTCCGACATCTCTACCACCACTTCAATCTCCAGTGCTGGTGCAGGAGCAGGGGTTGGAGCAATCTCCTCCAAGCCGATCTACTTTTTCCTTTATTTATTTATTTATTTATTTATTTTTTATTCTCTCTATCTCGCATAATGGCTTTGAAGAACTCGAGCACATAAAGGTCCTAAAGCTTCATCAACCTAATGGGCCAACTGGCTCCACCCAACCTTCTTTTATTTTTATTTTTTTTTAAACATTCTGTGATACACCATTCCATGATATACCATCTGCCAACTTTTGTCTCCCTCTTTTCCTTTCTTTTTATTTTAATATTGTCCATCCACTCTTCTTTTATTTAAACACAAAACCACTCTTTTTTTTTTTTTTCCATTCTCCCAACACACCCAGCCTCCTCTGATTTTTACTTTCTTTTATTTTATATATATATGTTTATATATTATCCTACCACACCAGGCCTCAGAAACCACCTCTGATTTTTCATATCTTTATTTTATTTCATTCTACACAAAAACCAAAACAACCACACAAAAAAAAAAAATAAAAATAACAACAACCACTAACCCATACCACCACAAACACCGGCCTTACTTTTGTGTCTCTTCCGCTGTTCTCTTCTTCTTGCCTCGGTCTTGGGCATCCCGTGACAGCTCAGCCCTACCAATTATTTATTTATTTATTTATTTATTTTTAACATCTCCATTTTGTGTTGAGTCATTTTGCTCCACTTTATCAATCCCTTTGTTTCAACCTCTAATAGGTTTCAATTTTAAACCTATTTGAGTTTGAGGGGGGGTATTACGCATATATCATGGTAAGCATGGTTACACACCATGCGAACCACTCAAGCTGGTAAGCATGGTTATACACCATAGGAACCACTCAAGCCACCCCATGGCGCACTCCCTAAGTCGCCCCCTTGGTGCACCACCAAATTCTTCTACATCGGTCTGGCATGACCCCATAAACTGTCCCGACATTGATTCCGGTTAGCTTCTACAATGGTCCGGCATGACCCCATAAACTGTCCCGACATTGATTCTGGTTAGCTTCTACAACGATCCGGCTTGACCCAATAAACTGTTCCGAAATTGATTCCGATTAGCTTCTACAACGGTCCGACATGACCCCGTAAACTGTCTCGACATTGATTCCGATTAGCTGCTACAACGGTCCGACACGACCATACAATGTTTTCACCAACGGTCTGACACGACCATAGAGTGTTTCTTATCCTATTTTATTTTATGTATTAGTTTATTTTCCTGTTTTATTACTCTTTCTAAACTCAAGTTGGTTTATGTCTATCCTCCTTGAATTTGAGGGGGGCTGTTAGTGTTATTAGTGTACAGAAAAGCTATAAAGTAAAGCATAGCTATTTGTCATTTATATTATATAATATGTAATGTTTTCTGCTTTCGGTGCCTAACTTAGCATCCTATGCTGTCATCTCCTCTCTATAAAGAGAGTGTTCATCTTCTTGTAAAAACACACAGAAATATAGAGTTATTCACTTGCTCTCTCTTCTCTCTTTCTCAAACTATTGTTTCATAACAATGCCAAAAAAAAAAAAAAAAAAAAAAAAAAAAAAAAAAAAAAAAAAAAAAAGGTACTGAAATGCCAAATGGTATCAAACCTAGTGCTCTAGCAGAGACACAAGCGCAAGAACCCGGAAAACACATTTTTTTCTTTCTGGAGAACATAATGAATGACTAGAATGTAAGTGCGATATGATCTTCACACGAGGTCTATTTCTGATAGGAGAGAAGCTATAATCCACATAGTAAAAAAAAATGAACATTAAGATGCTTTTTTCTAGGTAAGGATATGATTTACATGTTATAATCGTTTGTCTGTCACTGCCATTGACAAACTTTACATGTGAGTAGTAAGAGTTTCACACTCAAATATTGACCTTCCTCGCCATCAAACAGGTTGCAAAGATTGTTCTCAACTTATGAAAATATGTCAAAAGTTCAACGCTCCAGCAACCAAACCCATATCAGTAAAACAAGTGGCTATGATAAATACAATACATAAAGAAGAAGATGCGTAAAAGATCAATATTAACAAGAGAATAGGCTTCCAATAATGCAAGGAGGCTTTGTTTTTTAGTTTATTTCTGAGGTAAGCTAATTTCATGAAGAACCTTTCGAGGATCCAACTGCCCACTACAATAACTTGAAGAGACGACAGAGAGCTCTTGATGGCCATTCCACTCTTCCATGGGTTTCAGGACAATCGGACTTTCAACTGCAGCCGAGCAAAGATACAACATAGTCTTGTAATCTTGGTCCCCTAAATCTGGGATTGCCTTTGCCATTTTGTCCCATGGATTCCAAACAACTGCACACAATGTGATTGTACTTTAATAAAGCGAAAGCATCAAATTACAAAAAATTTTGAAACGTAAAACGGACCTGCATCTGGCAGGCCTTCCTTGTACAGTACAAACGTTCTCTTCTTCTCGTGGTCTATGGCAGCAATGTTTGTTGGAGTACTCAAATAAACCCTGTCAACCTATTAACATACAGTATTGTATATTCAGGAGTAAGAATTGAAATGTTCAAGCAAAATGAAAAAAAGAAAAAAAGGGCGAATGGAGGTTGTTCTTGGTATTCTTATTCACAACACGGAAAGAGAGGGAAAGGGAGAGGAAGAGACCTCCCCGTCAAAGGTAATTGCATCTGCTTGCTCTGTTAATCTCTTTCTATTCAACAAATTATCAAGGTAATCGAGTGTCTCCAAGCCTTCAACACGTACTTCACTGCAAATCAAACTGTATCATGGAATCCTTGGAAAAATGCAAATATCTTTCAAACAGGTCTTAAAAGAGATTATCCTTCATGTAAATGGTAACAATAATTTTGAAAACAAAAAACCATATTTAGGCTAGACGAATCCAAAAACATCAATGCAAACAGTTTCCATCACCAGCATTCCCAATGCAAATATCAATCAACCAAGGGTCGCTTAGCAAACCTGATGTCCGATACTGATAAGTAGTTGCAGATAGAAAACGTGAATGAGAATGACTTGTTATCAATATTCCTCAAGCGGGGGATCAAAGTTAGCTTGCCTGAGCCCAAAGAAATATGAAGTCGCATTTCAAAGCTGCATAAAACCATATCAATAAATGGTCTCAGTCTGAGGTCTCCACAAGTTTTTTCACCCTTCGACATACTTGCCATTGTCTTTACTCCAAACACCAAGCTGAGCATACCTATGTGGCCACATTTTCATCTCTTCTTTTGTGGGCTTGAAGATGAGATCTACGGATGATTGGTTGCTAGTTGGAGATGGGTGCAAAGGAGAGTTATCTATTGACCATAATCTGTTCCTTGGAGATCGATGGAATAGTGACCCCAAATTGCCAAACTGCGAAGAATTTAACAAAAAATAAAAAAACAAAAAAGAAAGTAAATATACCTTCAACTTATGTGTGACGTAAATGAAAACAAATATTTAAGAAAGATTTTTCAAAGCCAACCTGCGGAAAGCAAATAGATATTCCTCCTCTTATTGCTTTAGAACAGTTCCAAATTGCCTGCTGAGTGGAACAGAAGAAGACATTGTTGTGAAAATTAATCAAACAGATAATTCATCAGGTTAAAGATGCAATGGATGTAGAAATTGAATATATAATATTTTTTTTGTTGTTGGTTGTGAACAGTGTTGTGAACATTAATGAAACAAAATATATATATATTTTTTTTTTGAATATATAATATATAATATAAAAAGAGAGAGAGAATAGAGGGGCTACAACATACAAAGACTAGAGCCTCTAGCTCTAAGAAGCGGCAATCAAAGGCCTAGGTTCTACAAACAAATAAATTTGCTTATTTGAAGATTGCAGTTAAGCCTGCTTATTCTCATTCCTCACATTTGAGAAACTGTTGAAAGCTGATAATCGTTTAACTAAGCAAACTGATCTGTACTTTCGATATGAGGATACTTTCCAAAAAAAGGCCTATCTCATAAACTTAGTCAAGGATTTTGTGGAGGTAATGACATAGGTTCAAGCATATCAAAGCAATCAATAGCACCCATATATTAGCGGAATGTCAATCGATTAAACTTAACTAAAACAAAATAGTCGCATGTTGCACATTAAATGCTTACCTTGCTGCTCATAAAAAGCAGCTCTTCTCCGTGCTGATTCTTCCAAGATACAACTTGCCCACCATGAAGAAGAACCTATAAGATATGGTTGTGTCGCCAATTCAGATTATTGAGCACGTAAAACATGTATTGATCTCTACTAATAAGATATTATTCTCACCCATTCAGGTTATAGATTGAGCAGATATAAGGAACAAATTCAACCTTCTACAATTGATATTGTCGATCAATTTAAGGATTTCGTGAAATGCCACTGCTTTAAATTTGCTACCATTCGTGATGATATGCTATGGCTCTAAAGTGAAATGAAATCAAACAATTCAACCTCTCCATGAGACATTCACACAGACTTTTCTTGATTTATACCATTACAAAAACACTATTGTGCTTTTAGCATTTAATGGCTCCAGTATGGCCTAGAGGTATATCTTCAAAACAAATAATGATCCACTTGTTTATTGAGTTGGTTTTCCATAAAACATATATAAACATGCAAGAAGCTATAATAATCAAACATCAAAAAACAAAACAAAAAGAAAAACAAACTTTCCTCACAATTTGTAGAAGACTCAACAATTATTCCCCTTGTTAAATTAATATTGAACCAGAGGGTATATAATTTATCAACATTCAAAATTTCAAGAAGCAAATTTTCTTCAACGAAATAGATTCAAAACTAGGGTAAAGAATGGAAATATGAAAATAAGAGCTTTTGTTCATAAACTTGTGAAAAATGTCACTAATCCATAGGTGGGAACAAATTATCCTCGAGATGAACAAAAATCTAGGTAAACTTAGTCACTTCCAATTATTATAACTTACTACCAAAAAAAAAAAAAAATGACACTCATGCTATATTTGATTCATTAAAATTAATTGGGACGGAACCATAACAATGTTTGGCTAAAAAATTATGACAAATATATTATAAATAGAATCATCATTCCTTTTGTAAGGAGATTAAAAAATGACATGTCATTCCAATCTACTTTCATTCTTGTGAATCAAATACTACCTCGGCAGAAGAACCACCGGGTTCCGACAATAAAATGCGGGGCAAGCCATCAGAGAAGTTAAGGATGTCGAGGGGCATCTGTTTTATAGAACGCAGCCACCTCCACCTTGCTCTGTTCACTTTACCTCCTTTAGTCCACTCCAGCTACAACAACAATAACATAAATGAAAATCAGAGATCATTTACAAAACCCACAAAAACCCACAAGTGATCAAGCATAGAATTTCAAAATTACAGATCCAAATCAGTCTCAGAACAACTTAACAAATAATAGGAACAAACCCAATGTTCATAAAGAAACGAAAAAGGGGCGGTGGATGATTAGATTGAGAGATAAAGACGGCACCTTTGCTTCTTTTTCTGTTCTTTATGGTACTCGATTTCGAGTCTGACGAGCAAAGTATTCCCCAAAAGAGTACAAAGATATATATAAAGTGGGTTGGAGAGAGAGAGAGAGAGAGTGGTTGGGAAGGAGAAAGAGTTAACGGTTAACAGAAAGGAAAAGAAAGGGTGACCCATTTGGGTTCACTTTGATTGGATGCTCTGTTCTTTGTGGGATTGCGTCTCTTTCAGAAAACGATGGGAATATCTTCCTGAGTCATCCACTTTTTCTTCACCTCGTTTTTGGACGGTTGGTTGTTTGGTTGGTGAGGAAAACTTGTTGAATTATTAAAGAAAATAATAAAATTTGAGAGAAAGATACTCACTCGAGTCTTTACACAAAAAATTACATAGAATAGCGTGAATGGAGAATGAGATTCTCCTATGCTGGGTAGAGATGGCAATGGCCGGGCTGGGGCGAGGCTAGTTTGTAGTACTAATCTCTGTACTTGTCTTGCATCATAATTAGAGAAATGACGAGATATGAGTACTAACTCCAACGATGCATTTCTTTTTTGGAAAATGTCTCGTAGTTCAAATTTTGTGGCTCAAAAGTGACTCAAATGGCCAAAACGACTCGTAGTTCAAATTTTGTGGCTCAAAAGTGACTCAAATGGCCAAAACGACGTCGTTTTGGCCATTTTTATGTTGTTCTGTACTCAAAACGACGTCGTTTTGGCCATTTGAGCCACTTTTGAGCCACAAAATTTGAGCTACGTAGCATTGTCGTTCTTTTTTTATCAAATTTGAGTTAAAAATGATTTATTTTATCAAATTTGATATCACTCGCTCCAACGGTGAACTTTTATCAAATTTGCACCGGAACAACCGGTTGGTCGACCGGTCGACCGGTTAAGCGAAAAAAAAAAAAAATTTTGAACTTTTTGAACCTTTTAGTGATCGACCGGTTGGTCGACCAGTAAGGCAAATTTTTTTTTTTTTTTTTTTGAATCACTGTTTGAACCTTTTCTTGGAACTATTTGACCCTTTTGGTGGTCGACCGGTTGGTCAACCGGCCGGACAACCGGCTGGTTGATCGGTTGGTCTCCCTCCAACGGTTACCAACAGTATTTTGGTGAAATCAGTATCTTGTCGTTAGTTTGATGAATTGGTTGATGAAATCTCAATCTGATATCGGTTTGGTGCAACCGTTGGAGCAGTGAACAGTAGCTTTTTCATCAAAAATTAAATTTGATATCAACTTTGGTGAAGCGTTGGAGATGGTCTTAGACCATCTCCAATCCTGAATTAAATTTGGCATTAAATTTAAAATTTAGTGAAAAAAGTATTTTTTCATATTCCAATGGTTTCACCAAATTGATATCAAATCGAGATTTCACCAAACGTTTTACCAAAATGAGTACAGGCTCCGCATTTCACCACAATACTGTGCATGACCGTTGGGGAGACCAATCGGTCAACCAGCCGGTTGACCAATCGGTCGACCACTAAAAGGTTCAAACAGTTCTAAAAAAAGTTAAAACAGTTAAATATATATATATATATATATTTTTCTGGGGAGACCAACCGGTCAGCCGGTCGACCGTCCACTAAATGGTTCAAACAGTTCGAAAAAATTGGTTCAAACAGTTCCAAAAAAAAAAAATTCTCTTACCGATCGACCAACCGGTTGTCCCCGGAGCAGATTTGATAAAAAGTAAAGCGTTGGAGCCAGTGGTATCAAATTGAGAAAAGCATCCTTGTTTTCATCAGATTTGATGAAAAAAGAAATTCAGGGTTGGAGATGCTCTAACTAAAATGATGAAAAGAAGAATAATATTAAAGATTCGCATGTCATTACTTGAGTGTCTCTATTATAAAAAATTTTATTGAAAATAATTTAGTTAGGTCTCGTTTGAAAAAAAAAATATTTTAATAATTTTTTAATTTTTTATAAAAAAATATATAAAAAAATAAAATGATATGATAACTTATAATAATTTTTTAATTTTTAAATTAAGGTATATAATCAACCAACAAAGTGACTTTTTGGCTTTTTTAGATAAATGTTTTGGGAGGTTGGTAAAAAGTTACTTTTGACTTTTTTTATTGATATTTGTTTATGATATCAAATCACAATAAATGACCAAACTATCCCCATTCAATTTAAAATATTTATAACTTCACCCATATAGCACATTTTGACTCATGAAAAGTAGAATTGTAATTTCACCAATAACTAAAAACCAACTTTCCAAATGAAAAAAAATACAAAAAAAAAAAAAGACAACTTTTAACTTTTGCTACAAACCTAAAAAAGTGCCTAAAAACCAAGTTCCAAAACACCCCAAAGTCATACAGTCTAGCCAACCTTTGCACTGCACAGCTTGTTGCTATTCATAATTTTTATTTATCTTCTTCCAGTAAAGCTAGTTTTGAGGCTTCTTTTGGCTAAAATAGTCACAAAAAATAAAATAAGCTTTTTAACCCAATAGATAAAACATCATATCCAACCCGTAAAAAAGCCAAAAAAGCCTAAATCCTTTTTCAAACCAAACTTTTTAACCCCAAATTAAAATAATTAAAAAAATCAAAAAACTAAAAAATTAACGCATTTCCCAAACCACACAGTCTGAGGATCTTCTCTAACTCACAATCTAATTGGTTGGGCTTCCAAATTTATTAGCTAGGCCCTTATCTTTGTCTAGCCCACTATATTTTTTTTTTTTTAGCCTTAGGCCTCGTTTGGCATATTATAGTTTTAACTTAAAAATTAAAAAATTATTAAAAAAATCAAAAAACCTACAGCTTATATCAAAAATTCAAAAATTCTCTTTTATCTCTAGTTTTTGTACATCTTTTAGTAAAAAATCAAAAAGTCGTTTCAAACATACTAATTTTTTACCTCATATTTTAACAAAAAAATCAAAAAATTATTAAAATAGTATGTTTCCAAACGAGACCTAATTTTACTGTATTTTTTCTTATTATGCATACAAATGTATTTAACAAAAATAATTGGAATGAAGGTAAGGTCGAACGGGTAAGGGGATGAAAAATCATGAAGAACTGTTAGGTGGTATTAAATAAAAAAACAAAATAATAAATAATGGTTGCACCAAGGAAATGACAAAATATTTAATGTAATATCAAGGTTTTTGTTTGGAGGATAGAATCAGAAATAATAAGGGACAAACAATATTGTGTCATATATATATATATATATATATTATACTACTGTAAGATAATTTGATAGAAAGAGAATAAATTGTGTGCATGTTTGATTGGAAGGATTAAAGCATGGGATTATGATTATTTATCCGTGGACCCAATCATCTTATGTTTGTTTTGACATTTTGGTTTAAAGCTTTCTTTGAATCCCAATTTAAATTTGCCAGCACACTGACAATTGGGAAAATATCACTAAAAATTTGGAAATTATTTAAGAAAATTTTTATATTAGATATAAATTTTGTATTGACACACTTCAAAATATGGTTTTTATAATGATCTTGAATAATTCAGAAAATTCAGAAGAAAAGAAAAATGGGAGAGTTATTCAATTAAACGTGATTTCCAGGGACAGATCATTACAAAGGGCTTTGACGTAATCTAAATGATCATCATATAATAACCAAACCAAACCAAGCTTAGCTTTAAGTTCCATCAAATGGGATTGACTACATGATCATCACATTATATAACCATAAATAGCTTTAATTGAAATCAACGGTCCAAAATAATTCATCAATGACCAAAGTTTGAAGTTACTACTGCACTGCAACCAGAACAACAAACACGCCAAGGTACCAACTAAGCAACCTTCATTGCAAATTCTACTCTTCCTTGTGCCATAACTGTTAGTGTTATTAGTGTATAGAAAAGCTGTAAAGTAAAGCATAGCTAGTTGTCATTTATATTATATAATATGTAGTGTTTCCTGCTTTCGGTGCCTAACTTAGCATCCTATGCTGTCATCTCCCAGACATTCAAACTAAACTTTGATGGCGAAGCAGTTCCATCATACCTTGGGGGGTTGATTTTTAGTTGGAGGTAAGAGCGTGCCGGGTTTTCTGGTTCGCGCAAGAAGGCCTTTCGAGACTGGAGACATCATAAGATCAGTTGGGCTTGTGTACCTGAAAAGATGAGAGAAATTAAAACAGAATAAACATCCGAGCACAAAGATACAGGCTATAAAATACTAGCAAAGAACAGAAGAAAAAATTTCACTATGAGTGTAGAGATTACAATAAATCGGCTTGTATCTCTCAACAACCCTAAGACTCAAAATAACTATACAAAATTTTTAAAATTGCACGTCATGTCAAAATAGACCCAAATACAAAACACCCAGAAAAATTAAGACGTATCCAGAAAAATTAAAGTAAAATAGTAGAACCAATTTGAATGCCATGGGGATTGGCTTGTGTACCTTTCAGGGTATTTGAATGCCTTGGGGACCGTGAGGCGATTGGGCGTAGTGCCGATCCCATTGCCAGAGTTTTGGGAGTTTTGATCAGTTCGATGAGTCTGAGGAGGTGTACATTTTGAGTCAGAATGAGTGTTTTCTGATTGAATTGGTGTTTTGGGAGGTGTTTTCAGAGCTTTCTCCATGGAATTGCAGGTGAAATAAAGGCTAATAACTTCAGAGAGAGAGAGAGAGCGAGAGAGGTGTGTTGCATGTTTGGTGTGTGTCTAATGTGTTGTCCATGTGTATCTGTGTGTGTGTGGTCTGTGTTGGGTGTGCTGGGTGTGTTCTGCCATTGAAGAAGAAATTAGGGAAATTTGGGTTTGTCCGGCGGGCGGCCAAGGCGAGATTGCCGCCCGCCGGTGGAACGAAAATACTAGGTTCTTACCCTAGTTCTGATACCATGTAAGATAATTTGATAGAAAGAGAATAAATTGTATGTATTATGATTGATTGTGTTGTTATGTATTACAACTCCTATATATAGAAGAAAATGTGGTAGTAGGTGTAGTGTAGTGGAAGTGGTAGGTAGAGTGGGTGGTAGTGGAGATGGTAGGTGGAGTGGGTGGTAGTGGTAATTTACATTTACACAATTTACATTAACAACTACTATCAAATTATTGAATATGATTATATATCAAAGTCTATAAAAAGATAATGAGATTTGAAGGATTATTTGTAACCCTTCGATTGTGGAGTGAAAATAATTTG